AATTTTAGATTAGTCACGTGCTTTGCGTGAGCGTAGCTCACCTCACCGAGCGATATGCTGTAAACGTGGTTTACCTTGTTGGACTGACTGTTCTGACACGTCGTCCCGACCTCTCCCTGTGCAAGCAAAAGCTGACTTCCTTTTAGCGCTTCGCTGCAGGTCTGCGTTGTCTGTGCAGAGGGGAAGCACACACACGCACAATGGCTGAGTCAAGGATGGCTGTGCTATATTATAAGGCTTGAGCTGTGTTAGCCTCAAGTCTCGTTCTTGAGCCAAAGTTGCCGTATTGCTTGAGCAAACAAATGAATCTTCCTTACACTCAGCAAAGCTGATGAGTAAGTGTGAAGCTTCCGGCACAGTCCGCAAAGTGTGGCGGTTACAAAGCATTAAAGTTACGGTCTCACAGAGTGCTCATATTGGGACACCACGAACTACATGAGGCATCGAGGTCTGTTCGCACCTCCCATGAGTGAGACCTTTGGTCATACTCACATAGGAAGAGAGTCGCGATTTGACCTGAAAAGTTGGGACGACACCACGAATTGCACGAGGCATCGAGGTCTGCTCGCACCTCCCATGAGTGAGACCTTTGGTCATACTCACAATGGAAGAGAGTCGCGATTTGACCTTAAAACTTGGGCTCCGAGGCAACTTTGAATGTAAATGCATGTGTGTGTGTTCAGATTCCCAATTTTAAAGACTGTGTGAGACACGGCTACGTCAACGGCGATCCCCTGAGTCGTAGTAGGTGAGGCAGATGCGAATCGCCGGGCGAATTAATTCGGACATACTGATTTGCCCTCCGGTTCACGTCTAGGTACAAGTCGGAAGCATGATCACTATTGTTCTTGAGCATAGCCGTCATAGCAACGCCCAATTTCACGTCGATGCGATTGAACTTGTTGTGTCCTGAATGTTTCAAACCTTCGATGTCAGGAGATGGCCTGAATGCAGGTTCCAACCAACGCATCCAACCTTCTCGGTTTGGGTCCGCACAGGCGCTCAAGACGTTTGCGATGCATTGTGACATCCAGTTGTCCAAGTGTGTCACCTTGGGATATGGCGGCACGAACCGCCTTGTCAGCTAACCGTCTCGAGATCTTGACAGTGATTTCAGGATCATCACCTCCGTCATGATCATCTGGTGGAGGAGATCCTGGAAAATCACCACCACGATATCCACGTCTTCGAGATGGAGAATCGTCGACGCCATCCCCTCTGCCGCCGGCTCCATTCCCATAATTGGTTGGTGATTCCGAAGGAGCAACATCTTCTTCTTCCTTTCGTCATTTTCATCATCGCCATCGTTCTGATAGCTGTTGCTTTAGAGATGTTGTGCCGGTTGACGCCACTCATTGCGTTCATCACGTAGGCGATCCTCAGTCTGCTGAGCTTGTCTCAGTTGTACACGGAGTTCCGCCACTTGCGCATCTTATCCATTCTGGTACTTTCATCGTGTCTGGTGGATACTTCCTGAGGTGACCCCGTGCCTGGTGTCGCATTCTGCCCTTCGTTGAACTCAGTGTTCATTATCTCTGCATCCCGTGCCACTGTCTCTGCAATCAATTCCTGGTTGGTGTCGTCATCATCGTCCTTGAATGTAGCCGATGATGAGGTAGATGATCTCCCAGTCATATTCAATGATACCAACAGTTCACGTAGTTGGGCGTCGCGCATATTGCCCGTACTCGAGAGATTTGAACTTGAACACGTTTTGGCGCAGGATTTGTGGTCGATGGCAACGATGAATCACGTCCATGGCTCATGTTGACATCTCGCACAATGTGCAGAGGTGCCGTCTGCTCTTCAGTGACAATCTTATCCCGGTTTGATGGACTACGATGATTAGGAGTAGGAGTGCCGGCTTCAGGGGATCGCACTTCGGCTCCTACAGGAAAAGCAATTGCTTTCTGGCTACGTACGTGCTCCCAGCGCATTTCAGAATTTCAGAAGTTCTCGATGAGATTGGCATACTCGAAGTTCGCTGAGAACTTGTTGAGGTAGGCGTCGTGTTGCTTCAAGTTCTTGTTGTGTCCTCGAACGCATCTCTTCTTGTTGCTTCAACGTTGACGCAATTCCACCAGCTCCTCATGTAAGGCATGCAGAGGTTGCCGTTCTCCGAGTTGAGCTTGTCGTAGACGAGCTTCAGCTTCCTCCATCCTTTGAACAGCCTTTGACCGAGCTTCTCCTTCCCTGCTTACACGCTCAAAGAGCTGTTGATGCGCAGCGTTGCTCAAGTGTTGAGTACGCCGCATCTCATCTTGAGCTGCCTACATGCCAGATTCAGCAGCACGAGTTGTACTTCTTGCCTCACTCTGCGATGCGTGCTCCTCATCTCTCATCAAACTGAGCTTACTTGTCATCAAGGATATCGCTGATTCCGTAGAAGATTCCATCTTGAGTCGACGATTCTCTCGCGTCTTTTCGTTCAATGCATATAGCTGTTCGCGGCTTCATCACGAAGCTGTCCCAGTTGATGGTGCAACGATTCAGCGATTTCTTGATCTCGAACATGTTGACGACTCATCTCCTCTAGATTTCCTCATCGCAACCAGCATTCCGTTCTTGAATCTTGATGTACTCGGTTCACATGTCCCACGACTGCCCGGAGCATGTCCCGTTGTCGTTCCAACTCCTCAATCCGTATGGTGGAACGATGATCTTCTGCAGCCATCTCTGTAATCTTCTGCATGAGCGTGTTCACAATCATCTCATGGCGATGAGCATCTGCTTCATGAAAGCGTTGCATCTCCGCTTCAGCGTTCGCCAATTGTTCAACAAGTTGATCATTCGCAGTTGCGATTTGCTGGAGAGACTCAACTGTCGAATTGCTTCTTCCAACTCAGTATCCGGGCTCATAGGAGAATCTTGCAGACCCGCAAAAAGCGAATGACTGCACCCTCGCCAAAAGTGACGGGCAAGCATCTCCTTCGTCCTTCGCTGATTTCATTCGCAGTGATTTCCGTGAATCAGCGCCGAGGACATCAACGTCGCTGCGTCAGTCATCGGCAAGTTCGAGAACGAAAACAGGCGAAAGGCGTCAATCGAAGACGGTGATGCAGTGTCTGCAAATGAAGGTGGAATCCAAAGATCGTGAACCAAGGAGTCCAGAGCAGATGAAGTCAAGATCTTCAAGGAGTTCTCTTGCTCTCCTTGGAAGTTGACTTAGTGATGACGTAGAAAGTTTGCCCTTTACATCTTCGGTGGTTGTTGATTCGATCGACACAGCCGCTGGATCTTCCGCAGTAGATTCACCTGCAGCTGGCATAGCAACTTCACCACTCCCAAAGGTCATTGTCGTATCTGGACTTGATCCAGACATCATCGTGGTAGTAAACGCTCAAAGTCAGATCCTGGTAGGCCGAGCCTGCGACTGATAACCTGCATGGGTTTGTTGTTCTTTTAATTATTCGACGTAGCTCACCTCACCGAGCGATATGCGGTAAGAGTGGTTTGCCTTGTTGGACTGACTGTTCTGACACGTCGTCCCGACCTCTGCCTGTGCAGACAAACGCTGACTTCCGTTTAGCGGTTTAGCGCTTCGCTGCAGGTCTGCGTTGTCTGCGCAAAGGGGAAATACACACACGCACAATGGCTGAGTCAAGGCTGGCTGCGCTATAAGGCTTGAGCTGTGTTAGCTTCAAGTCTCGTTCTTGAGCCAAAGTTGCCGTATTGCTTGAGCAAACAAATGAATCTTCCTTACACTCAGCAAAGCTGATGAGTAAGTGTGAAGCTTCCGGCACAGTCCGCAAAGTGTGGCGGTTACAAAGCATTAAAGTTACGGTCTCTATTGCGACACCACGCAATGCACGAGGCATCGAGGTCTGCTCGTATGCGCGCTAAACGAAAAACCTCCTACGACCCTGAGTCGAACAAGGCCGATTTTTCTGAGCGCTACAACCTAAACGCTCTCTAAACCCGGAAAAACCAACAAAGTTCTTAGACCCCACATCTCAAAGCAATGCAGCCCACTCTCCCGTTCCCGACCACTGCTGATTGACTGGTGACTCAATTGCTTACCTATAAGCATAAATAGGTGCATCATGAACTGAAAATCGTGTAGGTGTGAGGTGAGCACAAGGGCCTAGGGTTGAAGAGGGTTTGGGTTTGGGGCTTGGGGCTGAGGGCTTAGCGTTTGAAAATTCAGCCGCTACGACCCTAAATCGAATAATCCCTATACTTCTGAACCCTACACCCTGAACCCATTGTAAACCCTAAAAATGCTCTTAGGATCCACACTCCAAAGCCATGAAACCCACTCTCCCGTTCCCGGCCGCTGCTGACTGACGGGTGACTCACATGCTTGTGTAAGCATGGGTAAGTACATCATGAACTGTAACAGCAGATACGGCACGGTTTGTTCTGCCCGCCTTGAGGTCGGCTCTCCCACGAGCATCTTCTTGCGCTGTCCTCTCTTCTGCCTCTCCTGGCCAAACAAAGAACGGCAAAGGAGTCTTCGGTTTGACTGAGGGACAGGCTGCACAGGCTGCAGTGGCTGCAGGGTCGGATTATCACGGTGCTTTACTACCTTTGCGCTGTGTGCCTTATACACCCCACCCTCCAAGAGCGAGTGCTCCAATATGGCAACCATGGGCAAACCCAGGAAAAGGCAGCCAGGCCGTCTAAGCTTCGGCAGGAGGTCGCGTCGCACCGCGCTTAGACTTTACAAACTTACGGAATTCCTCCGATCGCCTCGTTTCACATCGCTTCAGCTGAATGCTTGAAGCCTGTCACCCGGTACCGCTTCAAGGCACACAGCTTCAGCACCCGCAAGCAATCAGCTCGAAATTGTGACGTTTTGGAGGGTCTGTGAAGCACACCAACGTGTCATCAGACACGCTACAGCACCTGCCACCTTCAGGCACTCCTGAGGCGAGCTTGTGACATGACCATTTGAGAGTTAGGCGGGCGGGATCGGATGAAGCGAACAATGCCAAGACCCGTTTAATCTAGGGCAACCGATCTACAGACTCAATAAAACCCCAAATCCTGCTTTACTCCTCGAGGAGGCGGTACTGCTGATTCATGTTGCGACCCATCCTAAGGAGCCGGAGGTTGGGAGGGCGCCGGGCACGGCAGAGTTTAGAGGTTTAGGGTGTGGGGTTGTAGGGGGGCCTTGATACATGGGCTGTTGGAGTAGGGCTGCTGATTGTCTCTGAAGGCTCGTCTCTATATACTATAAGGATTGCTATAAGGGCTTCTGTAAGGGCTCTAAGTAGCTGTACTAGGTAGCGGCCTTGATACATGACATGGAATAGGGTTGTTGGGGGGGTATGTTGTCGCAGAACTATATAAGGACTATATGGGAAGTCCGGAAAGAATCGCATTACCAATTCGTCAGCCCCCTATTGGGGGGAGATTCTTGTGGAGAAGTTGCAGGTTATCGGACGTCGAGTTTGAGGGTTTGGGCATCTCTGTCCCTGTTTGCTTTCACGTTCTGAGGTTTAAGGCGTAGGGCTCTATTTTTTGGAGTTTAAAGCTGAGGGGTTTAGGTTTCGGGCTAATTGTCGGCTCACGAGCTATAAAGATTCAAAGCAGAGTTTGACGGCTCAGGGATTCAGTTCCTCCGTGCTCCACGGACTGGAGCGGCGGGCCTAAACATCGTGGGATGGAGGATGTGAGCCTTGGCAATTCGGGATTTGGAGTTCAAGGCTTGGCTGTGAAATCTCGCAACATCGGCTCGCAAATGTGGGATCCTCGAAAAGAACTTCATCCAGCAGGGTCCTAGTTAAAGGCTTACGGGATGCAAAAAGGAGATGTGAGTCGGGATGTATCTAGGTACATATCAAACCCAACAGCAGCCAACGATTTCTCAAGATCCTGCCTATCAAAACACCCAAGCTCCTAAACGACAAAGCCCTGAACCTTCAAGCCTAAACCTCGGACTAAAAAAACCGAAACCGCTGGATCCTAACACCTAAGCTCGAGTACTTGGCTCTGTCCCTGTCTGAGTCCACCACACATCGCAGGAGTAGGGATGCGGGCCACTCTGTGCAGCGGGATGTAAGTGGACGGGTCTTTGGTGTAGGGTTTAGGGCTTTGTCAAAGATTCAGAGCACCGAAGTGGAAAGAGCAGGACGCCAGCATATGGAGTGAGGCTCCAAATACTCGTAGTACCCCCAGCAGAACACCACACATTTACACTCACGAATGTTCCTAAGGAGCCCTGCATATACTCAACAAAACCCATACCAAAAAAAAAAAAAAAACCTTCCTTGCACAGGTTCAGTTCGTGCCTTGTCAAGGGTCCTAGTTGATAGATCCTCTAGAGACTATGGCTCCGTCGGGGTGCAGAGGGACGACGTAGAGTTGTGGATTTAGGGGTTTAGGGGTTTAGGGTACTCAATGCTTCGAGCGCGGTTAAGCTTGAAGGTTGGAGTTTATGGTTCTGTGGCTCTGGCTTTCAAGGTCCCGGGTTCAGCGGCATTTGGATTTGGGGTTAAGCAGAAGCAGTACCGAGGGCTTTCCCGATTGCCGTTTCGGGTATTGGGTGTTTAAGGTTTAGGGTTCATGGTTTTGGGTTCAGTTTTTTCGTTACAAGCACCCTTACACCCCAAGTGCACCATTCTTATGCTGATGTTGCTTTTTCGGGGATCTGATTCTTCGCGTCCGTGAAGCAGGAAGTTCGGAAACCCCCCCACCGTCGATCCGAGAATCCTAAACCCCGAGCTCAAAACCCTCAAAGCCCAAAGCTGAACCCTAAGTTAGACCCTAAGCCTTAAACCTCGCAAGAAAGACGCGAGCCAGAACCTGGGGTCCTACACCCTCCAAAGTACCTTAGCCTCAGGCCCTAAACATCCATAGATACCCACTGAAGGTTACGAAACCTAAACCCCTTGGCCCGAAGCCAATCCTGACTGCACAGCTCTACTGCGGCAGTCTAAGTACCAACATTATCCCCTAGGGCCCCAGGGTTCCTTTTTTTCATACGTGTACCATCTATACCGCAAAGTCTAATCGAAGATTCAAGCGTTTCATTTAATATCTCTACAACCAGATCCCCTATTATCTACTACATTGCAACCTGATTGTATGTAAACCTTATCTTTCGCTATTTGAGATCTTGAAGAAGGAAACCTAAACAGAACCCCTAAAAGGAATCCTTGCAGTAGCCAAGAGAGAACCGCATAAGGAAGGGATCTTTCACGGAGCTCAAGGACTTCAAACCCACCGCCAACAGAAAGCTCAAACGGAAGCCGTAGAGGACTCCTGAAAGAAATCGAAAAGGAAGCTCTCCAATTACTGTTTTAGAGGCAGCCCCTAAGTTATATTACTATTATTATGATTATTGTTATTGCTAATGGCATATTGTAGTATACTATTTCTATTATGCTATAAGGAACCTCTCAATGAAACCCTTAACCCCGAAGCCCAAACGAGGAATCCAAGACCCAGGGAAGGGCTTTCCTGGTCGAAGTAGTCAAAGCAGTCGTTGGTACCTGCCAGGGTGCTCTCAGACGGTCCTTTTGGGCTTTAGGGCTAGGGAGTTTTTCTTTGTGAGTTTTTATAAGTTCAGGGGCTTGGCATGGGGAGTTCAAGGTTTAGGGTGCATGATTTAAGGGTTTAGGGTTTAGGGTTTGGGGTGCATGATTTAAGGCTTTAGGGGTTTAGGGTTCATGATTTAAGGCTTTAGGGGCTTAGGGTTCATGATTTAAGGCTTTAGGGGTTTAGGGCTCATGATTTAAGGCTTTAGGGGTTTAGGGATGCAGGTCGAGGCTCACAGGCGCCTTGGAATTCGATGTTTGGATTGAAGCCTGAGGGCCCATCTCTGCCGATGCAGGCGCATGTACTTTTCGTGAAGGTGTGGCAGAGAATGCGACAGAGAAGGCTTTCGGTTCATGTTCGTTTTCTGGATTTTGGGGCCTATGTACAGAAGCAGGAAGTTTGGGGGCAGGGGGGGGGGGTGCAATGTTTGACAACCTGGGCTCTTGGAACAGTTTCTCTACGGATTGAAGCTTTTGCGTGGGGTTGAGGATTGTGGGTTTAGGACTTCGGGTTGAGGGATTAGCGGCTACATCTTCACCACTTAGGGTTTCGGCGGGGGTATGCGTGGTCCCTGAACCTATCAAACGGCCGGCAGGTAAGCCGAGGTAGGGATATATTTGGAGCCCATCGAAATGTTCGAGTCTTGGTAAGGCCCCGCGATGACGGTTAGAAGCTTTACTCGGCGATGCAGGGCCCTTGAAACTATGGTCTGATTCAACGCTGCGGGGTCTCCTGAGGATGTTCTTTGGGAATGAAATAGGGTGGGCTTAAGATTCGGGTTTGCGATGTGTGGCGTAGATGGTAATCTGAAAAATCGTAAGACCTCAAAACCCCAAAGTGCCAACACTAATTAACAGTGTCAAACCTTAAACCCTAAACCCACTCAATCCGAGACTCCTAGACCTAAAGCCCGGAATCGACCTCATGGACACGAACTCCTAGACATTCCAAGCCTTAAGCCAAGCTCAAAATCTTAAAAAGTCCTCGATCCCCAAGAACCATGAAGCATGACACAGTCTGAACCCCATTCTCCCAAGCGAAGATCAGAAAAACCTCAGCCCTAAATCTTCAAAGCCTAAACCCTAAACGCCCTGAAGCCCTAAAGCCCCAAAACCGAGACTTAGGGACTGAGGGTCGGGGGCGCACCATGCAGCCGGATGCCTGAGCAGCAGCTGCCGGTGTCCCTGGAGAATTTTAATCCTGGTGTTTTGTAGGGGTGTTACGGGGTTTTGTTCGTGCATTTAGGAGTCTTCAAAGAACGCTGCGGGTTTTCAGGTCGAGGGTCGACTTTAGAGGGTCACAGGACCCTAAAGCAAGTAGGCTACCGTGTTCCCAAGTAGCCCTGATAGAAAACGGACACACGGTTGAGTCTTAACAGCCAAGACACCCACAAACACTGCCTGGCCAGGCTGTGTTTGGGGCTGCCGGTCCCTTGAAACCAGTGGGGGTTTATAGTTTTCACATAGCAGGCTGGCTGCCACAGCCATGCAGCTCTAGATCGACACATTACGTAGATGAACTTGAACAAAGCCGCGAAGGTAAAACCTTTCAGCTGATATCCCGTAATCTAGGGATGCTGATACGTCAAGGTAGTCTGCGTAGCGAAACTTGGTTGACTTCGGAACCACTCCTAGCAATTGAGCTTTGTGTCTCGTCTTACACATGCTACAGAGAATCCAGAAAGGCTCACAAGGCGTGAACCCTTACACATCAGCACCAGACTGCATAGAACAGCCAATCCTTAAAGCACTAAGAATTGATGTAGCGCTTCGGCGAGGCAAATCTCTAAAATCGCGATAAATCCCTGGATCCCTGAATTCAGAAGCGCTCTGATGCCGCAGATTGACTTCCTGAATCCGACACCCCAAACCCCAAACCCAAAACCTGAAACCGTGACCAAAAACCATGAAGCCCTAAACCGCGAAGCCGTTTTAACCCCAATTGGCCCCCCCCCCCCCGAAGCTGCAAAACGCATAAGCTCTATATCCTCTCTTACAACCAATGAGAATACTGAAACCCTAACAATTTATGGAACCTGTACAGGAGCCCTGAATCGGGCCACAAAAACCACGAAACGAAATCCTGACAAAAAACCAGAGCCTGTCAACGTTTCCGCGCTGCAAGAAGAGCTTCCCTCCCTGCGTGCAGTTTCCTCACAAAGCTTCGGCGAGCTTTGCGCTTTTGAGGCTTTGCGGGAGGATTTATAATTCATTGGTCGTGTAGAGTGTGTGTCGAGGGCTTCGAAGACTGGCTTGGTGTGGGAATTCTGTTGATTAAAGGTCGCGGGCGGCTTTCAAGGGTCTTTCTCTTTCTAGGGCTGCGGGTTTTGATTCTGCGATTCGGGCGGCTCGTGCTTCTGGGTTTGGGGTTTATGGCTCAGTGTTTCTGGCTTCCGAGGCTCTCAGGAGATAGGGCTCTGGGACTTTAGGGCTCAGGCCGAGCCCCCCAAGACTCCAAGAAGGATCCCCTTCATGTCCCCCTCATGGGCTTCGGCGCAGCAAGCGCGCGCGCGTGTGTGCTGACCCCTGGAGGCATTCAGGAGCCAAACACAAAAGCAAGCGGAGCCAAACCCGAGCCCCCTGTCTAGCCAGAAACTTCTGTCTTGCCCCTAACCCCCTCAACCCTAAACCCTAAACCATTTCTTACAGAAACCCTTTCTTATCCACTGCCTTGGCTGTGCTATAGAGGCTGGGCACCCCGAGAAGCGGGGGCGCTTCAAGGCTCCTATGCCCCCGTACATGCATGCATAGACGTGTACCTATGTATCTATATATCTATATAATATAATATATATATATAGATATATAAACACATATACACATACATACATGTGTACATATCTATGTATGCATCTACTCGTTTGCTTGTTTGCTTCATTTATCTGTTCGTCAATCGGTTTCAATCGCCGCCAGGGGTCCCAGGGTTCTCCGGCCCAAACAAAGGCCCGAGGCCACCTGCTCAGAGGCTCAGGGGGCCTAGTGAAGGGGCCGAAATCGGTAGAAGAAGGCTCCTTTAAAGGCTCTTGAGAGCTAGAAAAAAATGAAGCGATCGGAAGACCTTACATGGAAACAGGGCCTTATAGGTTTTGCACATTGACGATTCTGACTGGTGCGTCGTAGGTTTTGTTTCGAAGGGGGTGTACATGACTAGTGGGTATAGTTTAAGTACAGAACTCGGCTTGTGGGGTTTTAGGGGTTTACAATTTTGAGGCTTATGTGGCAAGGCCGGCACTTCTGCTAAGGCTATCACAAGCAATCATTCAGGAAGCAGGTACAAGCGCAGGGAAAGAGCCGCAAGCGTTCGGAGGCGCTGAGCAAAGGAGCACCGCTCCGAGTCACGGCCTGAAGAACCCGTCAAGGCGCACGCCACGATGCGATGATGACGTGCCGGGGCTGGAAGCCGAAAAAGACATGAACAACCCCAAAAGGAGCGCTCACTCTACTTTCGCTTGATCCACAGCGCCTTCCTGAATCTTACACCCTAAAATAGAAACCTTGAACCTGAACCGTTAAAATCTTCCCCACATGGATGAGCCCCAACCTCTTGCAGCCGGAAATACTCACGCGCAATGACACCGCCTGGAAACCGAGGAAGAATTTGGCATTGGGGATATTGGGGGTCGGGGTTGAGGCTTAGGGATTGGTTTCAAGGTTTAGGGTTCAAGGTCAGGGATTTGCGACTGAAATAGGGCTAGGGTTTGGGGTTGAAGGTTTAAGGTGGGGTTTGATTTATGCGGGGTTTAATTAAGCCTGAGGCGAGGTCTGAAATTCAGGGTTTAAAGTGTCAAATTTGCGTTCCAACATGGGGACGGCTGAATTTGAGGATTTCTCGTTTACGACCACAAAGTACCCCAGTGTCCAATGCTCTGCCGGTTTTTGCGCAGAAACCCTTGTAGCACCCTTGATATGCAGCCCTGACAGAATCTCTATGCCCTCCCGAGCCCCGGGGGTCCGCACCTTCAATGTAAAGCTTGCGGAACCTGTACAGAAAGTAGCTGAAGGGCCTCAGAGTTGAGGGTTCCTTCACCTAAACCCTAAACCGGAATGATAAGCACTCCATAAGGGGATAAGGGATAGCTGGATGGCAAGAGGGTCGAGGATCAGGGGACGCAGAAAGCAAGGGGTAGGACTTAGGCTACTTCAGTAGCAGAAGCAATCGTACCGCCAATGATGTGGCATTTAGACATTGGGTGTAGTCGTGACCAGGGACGTCACTTCATAGGCTGATTTAAGAATCCGAAATCTCAAAGCCGACACTCCCTGCAAGACCGCCCGCAAGACCGCCCCATGATGACGACGTAGACCGAGACCTTGGAACCTTCTGTCGCAGTTTCAAAAACTCGATCATAGTTTTGGGATATAGGTTTAAGGTTTAAGGTTCTGGGTTATGTTTGACCATACAACAACTATGAATGAGTCTTCGGACCGCAAAAAAAACACCGACCGACCGACTCAGGGAAACCCTTGAAGGCCGACACTCTAAAGGGACGAAAGCCTGAAACCTGAAACCTACATTGACCTTTTACCTACCAAACCCTGATGTTGCGTTGAATCCTTTCAACAAAAAACCTAATATCTCCCCTTACTTACATAAACTAGTAGTTCAACGGGTTCGGGGAGGCCTTACATAAATCCTAAGCCTTGACGTCTGCCTGCACTTCACCCTGCGGTGGGTATATAGATCAACATCTAAATTCAAGAGATTCTGGGTCACCCAATATCCCCTGATGTTGAATGATACAGCCATCCTTTCTCCGACTATGCAATTTGGACAATGGAGCTTTATAACACAAAGGCTGACATATGCGAATGGGTGCACCTGGCGGGTGGACCTGGTTTTAGAGCCGTAAACCACAATGTGTAGACCCCTGATCCACGAACCACCTGTCTCTAAGGCCCTAATAATAACTTGCATGTTAGAACCCTGATTACAGGAGGGGTGTTTGTAAATCTGTGGTCGACAATATAACGGCACCCTCAACAGCAACATCCGGGCCCTACAGTCATGACTAAGGAGCCGTGCATAGTTCAATATTAACCCCAACCCCCGTGGAACCCCTATGGCCCTATGGGTCACTTTTGTCGACCCCTTTTGGTTCAGGCTTCCATATTAGAAATGCCTTCCCAAATACCCCGTGCTTCCCGTCTTGAAAGCACCAAACGCTCGATACACTTACAACACCTCACTGGCCCTTGGGGTTTCGAGTTCAGGGTTTGCTATCTTCAACGTGTGTGGAGCTTCGGTTTTGCTTACGTCTCAGAAATACACCGAAAAACGATATGCTCATCTGAGGAGGCATGTAAAATCATATACACGGACATGGGCCTGGGTAGAAACTCTACTTACCTACTTCGTATCGAAGCCTACGGGAATAAACCCGGCAATAAAACTCGACCTTTCGTTTGTCAGGTTACAACAATGGGTTTAAAATGGTGTTTGGGGTCAAGCTGTGAAGGGCTAGGCCTTGCGGATTTACATTCCAAGGCTGAGGGTAAGCTTTCTGTGTAGACATAGCGGCCCTCTGCAAATAAGGGCTGATATCGAAGTTCGCGAAGCTCTTATTGTTACTATTGGTACTTTTGCTATGAATATTGCTCTTGGTACGATAATCATGAATTTTATTATGATTATTTTTGCTATGTCTATTATTGTTGTTGTTATGGCTATCACCCAAGCAGCGAAAACCCCACACCAGAAGCATGCGTTTGTGAATAAGACGTCACGACCACTGTCGCATGTTAACAGGCCTGAGTTGCTAGGGTCTCTAGGCAAACTACGGGCCACAACTAGTTGCCATCTGTGTTTTGTCACGAAGAACGACCGCGCCGAGCTGGACGACGACGACCAGGGAAGGAGACCACTAAGAGACACGCAGGAGACCCGCTCGAGAACCAAGAGCACCAGAAAACCACGGCAGCATTGCCAAGATGCTTTCCCCAAAGTACTGGTGCATTCAAACTATTCAAACCACGCCCCGACTGCCTTCCCTCATGTGCTGGCGGGATTCAGACAGAATTGAAAGCACGAGAAATCGTTTCCCACCACGTAGTGGCGCCTCGAGGACCAGCGCGGAAGTATTTCCCACCAAATACGGGCGCTTCGGGCGCAGGCGATTTATGGTTCCCCGCTTTATCTTGCGAGATTCACTTGAAAACCCGGAATCGTTTCCCCCAACTATACTGTTGCGATTCAAAGCTGTCGAGAGCAAAAAGGGGTCCATGTCGTGTAATTTACAATAAAACCTGGCCCACGTGCGCGCGCGGCAAGCGAGTCGACGTCAGCGCAAACTTTCCACTGTCCCACGGCGGCAGACGCGCGCTGCGAGCATCCTGTGTAAAAACTGACGCAGGGATCCGGTATGCAGTTTTATTTGATCCCTGGGGGCCTACATTCTTTTTTGATCCTGTCAATGTTTTTTTTGATAGGAAGACTGCCTGGTCAAAAAACACAGCTCAAATCCCAAACGAGTCTTTGGAATACCTCTGAATTTTTTTTTGGCACTGAACGCAACTGAGGCGACTATGCCTACAGGCTGCGGCCCACAGCTTCCTTTTCCAAGCACATTCTTGCAGAACAACCCTTCCGTAGGAACATATCCTGGTGCAGTTCAGGGTAGGACCCTTCGAATAATCACAGTCCATGCAACATCGCGGCCGCCGTGCTTGCCAAAACAAGAGTAAGGATCCAGCACACCATCTTTTCATGGCAGCGCTTCACCACTCGCTCCTGTTTTTGCTAGGTGGCAGGATCTAGAGCAGCTTTTCAAACTGCCGTGAAACGTTGCCAAGAACATCGTCCAAGCACGTTCATCCTTCCGTTCTCCACACTTCAAGCAGTCAGCCTTAACCCCGGCACCCTAACGAAACCCGAGCACCTCAGAAAGCCCTACACTTCGAAACCCTGAACCCCCGCACCCCCTCAACTCATCTGCATGCAAGCTTTAGAGTGCGGGTTCTAGGGGCGTCTTGCACCCTCGCCAAGATTTGCGGTTTGGGCTTAGGGTTTGGGATGCTATGGGCTGGGCTCCAGGGCTTAGGGAGCTAAGCGTTTGGGGTTCTGTCCTTTCCAACACCCCTCTGAATGCAATATAATGCAATGTTCAGTCTGATCAGTCTGACACTCTACATTTCAATAGCACAAAAACATATAAGGGCATCCGGCCCCAGACCCGATACAGCCCTGAGCACTTGGATTTAGAGTATGCTGTTGGAATTATTTAAAACAGTGCACAAGCTCGCGGGCCAAACCCCAAGTGCTAAAACATCAGAGCCAGGTCTTCAGAATGCGCGGAGCCTTGGAAGCAGCCCACTACATTCTGGGCTAAGCACAGCTGACTTCCGACGGTCACTGGCTGCATGAGTTTGTCGAGCTTCTCAACCCCTGCCAGTGTTATATAGGGGACATGACAGCTACGGTAGGTTCTTGGGGTACATTAGAATGTCGTTGGGCAAAGACTGTAGGGTGGTATTCTTGCAAATGATTGAAGCCTCTATACGCCCACGGGTTAGACGCTCCGACACTCGGACAAGCCAGATGAGGAGCCGTCTGCGTGAAACCATTGGATCATGAAGGTCAGAAGAAGGCATTGCTCTAAGTCACTGGTGGAAGTTTCCATAATGTGCTTCAACCCGACAAACGGCCTTGTAGTTCCAATCTGAAGAAATTCTCGGGCCAAAACAACGGCGACTCCGGCCTTTTTGGCCGAGGGACCACTGTCACCTTCCTTAAACACAGGGTGACACGCACGCCGTGTGCAATGCATACTGCATCCGGGGTCGTGCCAGGCGCCAGTGGCGAAGCCAGCCGCTCGGAAGTGGAGGTTTCAGGGATTGTTGCTTAGTAAATGGCTGTGAAGTTTCTGGGTATGCCGAAACTTCTAAACACTGCAGCACCACACTCTATGGCTCACTAAAGCCTGCACCTACATTTTCGTCGATCTAAGCCAGTCACTTTTACAAGGCCCCTGCGTAGGATAGCCTTGTGCCGGTCAGCTTCTGAAAGGAGTAGGTTGGACTCCAAACACTGCCCCCCTCCCCCCCCCACCCCCAGTTTCGTTTCGGCTCTACACCTCTCTGGTGGTTGTTTTAAAATGAAGTGTGTTTTTTCTGGGCGGCTCCTTGCCATAAGAATCTTATATTTTCTGTTTCCAAGCTTAAAGTCTTAAAGGGCTTAGTAAGTACAGTAAATCATCAAAGTGCCGCAACAGGACTTGCCACAGCCTCACTGGAATCGCTTCCAATGCAGATTCCTTGCGGCTTGGCTCGTGATGATCGCACCAGATGCTGGGCTTCGGGTTCCTCACAGCCTCCGCTTACTCAACTTTTTTTAACATATTGTAGTTTGAGGCCCCGGCGTGACTGGCAGGCTTTGCGCTGGCGGGGCCTCCGCAAAAAGGCAGGTTGTTGCGCTGCATTTAGATGTGTCAGTGTTTGAAGGTTAGGCTTCTGCGGCAAATTGGCCCCCGGCCAGAGCCTGTGTTGCTGTTGTGTTTCGAGCTTGGGGACATAGAATGTTTATTGTTTTCCCACCCGCCCCAGCTGACAAAGGCTTTAATGGGGTGCAGGGTTCAGGGTTGAAGGTGCTTGACTGTCATCGCCGACATTTTCATTAGCGATGGAGATCCAGCAGCATTTCGACTCGCACACACAGAGCCTGCTCGGCTCCACAATAATTCCACTCAAGTTCATCTTACAGCCCGTATTTCATAGTTCACGAAAATTTTGGCAATGATTTGAATATAAGTAAGATGTCAACATGGAATAGTTTTAGGATGTACAAACAAATTAACATAGGTTTCAAGATACATATTTATGAAACTCAGTTCGTTCTGATCTCCATATCGGTTTACAAAATCGCAGAAACTCATCATGCTTTTGGTTCTTGAGGTCCAGGGCCACTTCTGGGTCAAAAAATAACTACAAGTAGGATCAAAACTGAACTTCTGCCCCCAAAGATCAAATAACATTTTCACCAGTCTCAAAAGAAAATATGTCCCACTTTAGGAACCACAGAGAAGCTGCGTGCCTCCTACTATTCTTGTCAGAAGATGCTGCATATCGGATCATGCCCCTAAATCCCCGCTGGGAGCGCGACAGGCAGTGGAGCCTGTGCAAGGAAAGATTGAAGGCGGACTCACCCCTAAATTGCATGACTTTGTTGTTTTTGTTTGGGGCTTTAGGGTTTAGGGTCTAGGAGTTGACATCATGGTTTCTTGAATCTCGAAGAGAGGTACCCTGAACCAGCCAACCAACCTTACTGCTTTGGGAATTGGGCCTGGTCCAGTGCTGATAATGGTTGGTTTAGGGCTTCGGTTTAGGACTCGGGGGCATAGTGCTTCAGGCTTCACGTTTCCGCCAAGTATCTAAGGTTAGGGAATCGGTGTTTCTCCCATCCTACACCCTACAACCTCAAATTCTCAGAACCTGGTCGTGCGAAACAGGTGCAGTGGTATACTTCACGTTTAACTGTGCTGAAGGAACAAGACAGAGAAATGCCTCCCAAACTTGCATCAAATCGGCCCATCCCTAGACCCTAAAACCTTAGCCCCAAAACCCCCAACACTAAACCCTGAACCGAAAACCTTAACCCCTAAACCCAGACAGGACCTTGGGCTTAGGATCTCGGGGCTTCCAGCTTGCAGGAAAAAGCCTTAAGGCCAACAGGCCTCAAATTTTGAAACCACACTCCATATATACGCCTTCAGCCCCAGACACCGGCCGTGCGGGCCCACTGCCCTAAACCCTACAACCTAATCCCAAGGCCCTGAACCCGAGACCGACTTTAAACAAATCTCGAACTTGCCATCCCGAAGATGCACGGAAAACAGCCTCTTCTTAAAGCCGTTGTAGTTTAGCACCTGGTCCTGTGCGGAATAGGATTTAGGGTTGCGCCGGCTAAGGGTTTAGGGGCAGGCAGCAGATTGGGGATCAAGGGGCTACAGGCTACAGGGGCCAGATGGCCTGTATGATGGAAAAGGGTGTAAGAAACTGTTAGAGTGCTGGGATGAGGCTATGTTATTCCAATGGCGACGATCACTGCTTCTGCTGCCTCGGGCCAAGGGATATGTTACTGGTTTGGGCCGCCCCGAAAACCTCCAACCGCCCTAAAGGAAACCAAAGCCGACATTTCTCCTCTCACAACCACGCGCCCAAACGCTCAACACGCCCAATTGCACCTCAACTCGAAACCCAGACACCTTCAACCCTGAAATCAAAACTCCTCTTTCGGGCTTAGGACTGGCGGTTTGTTTTACACATCCGGAAGTAACGCCTCGGCTCTACGAAGTCACGGCTTAACACCCAGTTTCGGGGTTTTTTTGTGGGTGTTTCAGGCTTTCGGGTTTAGGGCTCAGGACTTTCCAGGGCTTATGGCTTCCAAAACGCCTGAACTTACGTTGCCGTGATAGCGCAAGGCTATTTACCGTATAGACCCATATAACAGTGGTGACTCAGATTAAACTTCTTCGCAGGAGACCCTCTATCGAGGGCAACAAAGGTCGAGGGCCCCTTCCCGCATTTGCGTGGCACGAAATACCACGTATCTGCGACTTGCCCCCTAAACTCTATAGGCCCTAAGAAAAGATGAGTGCATGCCGGCTTTGTTCGACTCTTCTTTCACTTCATTATGCGTGCATGCGTGTTTGTGTCTGTGTATGCCGGGTGGGGCCCGGGTGGTGGTGCGTGCGCCCAACACAACTCATACATAGCAGCATGCATCGCTATGCATCGCCATCGCACGCCAAGGATTGCTCAAAGTGCATGCTCAAACGTTCATGTGCATACATGTGTAAGTATACATTGTGTAGATTATAATGCTCAATACAGCCGGGCAAAGCTCAGAACGGCCACCTTTCCATAGTTGATATTTTTATGTAGATAAGGATGATAAAGGGTGTAGATTGCGGGCCTGTATTAGTGCAAATGGGAGACAAAGGCAAGCCTGCGAGCCAGGTTTCGAGCAAGTTTAGGGCTTAGGGTTTACGGCTTAGGTTTGAAGTTTAGGGCTTAGGGTTTAAGGTTTCGGGTCGGTTCTGGCTCTAGGGTGTGAAATCAACAGCTTATCCTTGTCCTCCGTGACAAGGAAGTTCAAGACTTTGAAGGGCACCTGCTTGCACTGATTGAGGATTTATTAGGACTGTAGAAGGTCGGGGGGTTTAGGCTTCGGCTCGAAGGCTGAAGGTTCAGGGTTCAGGGTTTTGGTTCTGGGGTGGTGGCGAAAGCTCAGAAAAGCAGGATTCTTCGCACTCGGACATGTGCATCTGCAATGCTCACTTGTCCTGGAAGCCCCTGAGGCAAGCACCTTTACATAGAAGCGCATGATGATGGACTGCATCGACAATTCTTCACATCCACATCTTGCCTCCTCAAGCTGTATACCGACAGACAGAACACTTCGAAAGATCCGGAATCTAGACCTTCCAGAATCCAAACGAAAACCGTAGCAAAATAGAGTATAAAGAGACGTATACTCTTTTGCGCACGACAGCCTGCATAGACATAAACTACCGCCACGAATATCTCTGCCACCCCGAACCACGGCACCGCTGCCTCAATCAACACAGTCTCATGCAACAAACGCATCAGGATCGACCAGGGGCCAAGCGCCAGGGCCGGAAGCAGCCATCTGTCATCCTGCCGGTTGAGCATGACATGATGAGCACTGGTCACTAGAGGGGAGCACACCAGACGATTTGCAAGCCAGCTCCGATTCTGACTCTGCTGGCCACTATTGCGGTTAGCAGGGCTGCGCCTCCACTCTAGGGCGACGCCTCATCCAGCAAACATAGACGAAAACCCACATTCAGAAAACATGGGCAAAGACTCAACAACACACTGCGCCACAATCAGAAAAGCGGCAAAGTTTTGGGCCCATGGCCTCAAACAGCTGAAACCCAAAAAAAAGGGTTTCCGAGGAGGATTCCCTATACAGCAACCACCTGACAAGGGGTCAGGGCATCGGATTTAGGGTTTAGCATGTAGAGTTGAATGCTTAGGATGTAAGCCTTGGGATTTAGGATATGCGGTATAGGGTTGCAAGAATGAAGGTACTTACTTACCCATGAAGGTACTTGCCGCCCCAATTTTCCTGACCTCGGCTTCAATGGGTACTTCCTCCTCCTCCTCCTCCTCCACCGCGGCCTCCTCTCCCTGCGATTTGAAGGGGACTTAATGGAAACGTCGGGAAACAGCAGAACCCGATGACCCTAAAACACTCGAACCCTAAATTTCTCCAAAAGCCTCCTAATTCTGCAGCGGCCGCCTACACTCCCTAACCCTCCCCCCTTTGAGAGAATCGGACCGGACCTCCTCAGGAAACTCCTGCGACTCTTGTGTTTCTACGCTGGAGTTGAAACCAGGCGTTGAGGTTGAATCTGACCCAGGGAGCCAAAAGGTCTCCATCAGAGTGCTTGAAGATCTAGCTTATGCGAAAAACAAACAATCATCTGTGAATACGCAGATGTTGCTAATTTAAACAATGCTGGGCTCTCTGGGACAAGCAAGATGCAGCTGGGCCCGTACGCTTCCCATACATGGGAGTTTCACAGGAGTTAAGACTGTCAAGGGACCTCTTTGTCTATGTAAAACTGCTCAAGCAAGATGCATAAAATCCCGACATACAGACCGTCCTGTTGGCAAAACAGTTGCCACTGTGGACCTTACACTGTCGGCGCCGCGCTGGGCACGTCTCCCTACCCAGACCCGCCAGGGCAAACTCCCAAACACAAGAGATATTCAACGGTGCGGGTATAGTGTCGGGGTCACGAGCGTGGCAGGTCACACAAGGAGGCTGAATCCAGAGCCAGTGCAGCTGGACGGAGAACCGACTCAATCACGCACAAACCCCAAACAAACACACAGAGAGAGAGAGAGAGAGAGAGAGAGAGAGAGAAACACACACAGAGAAACACAGGCATGGAGGAGGGAGCTTCAAGCAAGTATACCCAGGAAATGTAGACCCGCATCCTGCAGACACTCAGGCCCACACTCAGGTTTAGGGTTGCCAAGAAGTTTGAGTAGAGGCGTTACCTCAAGACCTTAAAAACCCAAAGCCCAAACACCCTGAAGCTCCTCTGCCTCTTCGGCCAGATCCTGGCCGTCAGACCATGACTCCTAGCATGGTTGATCATGATACTATATGCCGCAGAGCTGTTAAATTTGAGCCCGGTTTGCCTTTGTTCATTCTGATGACCGACGACATACAACTCGAACAGAGGTTCCGGGGTCGACTTGCGAGTTCTAGGCTTCAAGGAGAAAGAAGTTCATAGAACACCTCTAATGTTACCAGTATGACATGTGAAGACCGCTGATACCGTAAGAGTCTCGAAGTCTAAAGCCCTTGCCCGAAAACAGCTAGAAGCTTTCGATGAAGCCAGTTTGCTCTAAAGACGCGGTGTAGAAAGAGGCTGTGCGAAAAGCTCGTGAATGCGTCTGACCATACTCAGTCTGAAGAATGAACGAAAACACCGGTTGCGCTCTAAACATGACTGTGCATGCTACTGAGCTTTACTTCACAAAGAGAAAAGCCAGAAAGTGCGATAGTTTGTCGCGACGTCTTCACTGCGAATGCCAAACAGTGATGCTTCAAGAGGAAAACATCCTGAAATGGGCTGCGCTTATTTCTTCACAGACCTCACAATCTTGAACCCCGCCCTCACGTTCCCGGCCGCTGCTGACTGATGGGTGACTCAAATGCTTACCTAAACTTAAATAATCATAGCTAAGTCTTCGATATTTGGGTCACCCGACAGCCCCGCTGACCTATGGGCCTTGCATCAGCGAAACTCCAGCAGCGTCTTGGCCTCCAGTGCATCTGCGGCATTGGAGGCTTGGACATGCATGTTCAAGACCGATTTTAAGGATGTCTGAGGAAGCCCTTTAATTACCGAACCCGAAGGCCGGGTCGCACGTGCTTTTGAAGCATAGATGTGGTTCCTGTTCGCTAAAGTTGAGCAGAACAGGGAGTGGGGTACTGACCTTACAACGGGGGGCTGCGAAGAACCACGAGTCACGTCCGAATCCTGGACAAGCCGCACACATGCCGCCCCCCGGAAGCATCCGCACGATCGACAGCATGTCAAGGAGAGCAGAGCAACTGACACTGGTGTTAACTCTAGGATCGGAAGAAGGTCTGTGTAGTCTCGCAGCACGTCGACGTTGCCTCGGCACGGCGTCACTCAGGGACGAGCGGCATTCCAGGTTTCGATGGTGCAGATAAGTCTCCCGTCACTGAGATGGTGTCCTGGTTACACTATGACAGTCAACTAATGAACAAAAACCAGAGCCTCCACAGCGCACCTGCCTTGCCATCCATGGCCCACTGCAAGGACTCCATGCAGGCCTGCCTCCAGTGGCACCATGCGATGCTTCGGTTCGCAGACGAATCTCCGAGGAGGCCTGCGCTGTCTCAACTCGGAGTTTTGTGGGGACTTGTAGAAACATTACGGCATCGTCTTTTTTTCTTAAGGCCCATGCTTTCTCTTCTGGCGAGATCAAGGGAAGCTTGCGCCGCCTCCGCTCTCCTCCTATCTCCGTCTCTATGTCTTTGTTCGAGGCGAATGCAACCTCATGCAGGCCTCCTCGGGCATGCTCATGCTAATCCCCAGGCCGGGAGTGTCATGGTCTTTCAAGCACGCTTCCACCTTTCAGGGTTTAACCCCAACAGCACACACTGCAGCCGAGTTTCCGAGGCTGATACAAATTTCCTCCTGCCCGAACGAAATCTGTTGCAGCTGGGCGCCATGCGCTCGGTCCTGCTCTGACTCAGCATTGCCAGCACAAACGCAGGGACCCTCTAAATCGCCCGACAGTCCTTGTTCCAGAAGATGTCCGGAGTGCTCGAGGCTCACCCAGTCCTCCGAGAGACGTGCGGGATGCATCATCTTTCACGCTGAGAACCTTGTACAAACGCAGTCATTCGCAAGTCGTTTGCTGTTACGAGATCCAACAAGGCCATGAGTGCTCGCCTTACATGCGCGAACTGCGACCAGACCAGGATGGCGCCATGATGTTAAATAAGGATCTATAGTCTGCTCACTTCCGGAAGTACGGCGTAAGCGCTCCTTAATCGCAACATCCTTGGTATGGCACGCGTGCCTGATGTCCTGTCTCAGAACCTTAGCGAGACGCAAGCCAAAGCGATGGCGGCTGCAGGCGGTTGCAGGCGGCACTGCCCGCGGTCTCCAGTCAAACCTTGCCGGAGGAATCGAGAATCTTCACGTGCAAAAGCCAGGAGCCAAGAATACTCAAAAAGATTCCAATACTACTAGTACTAATAGTAGGCAGTCACCCCTGTCAGTCAGGATACGGTGCCGGGCCCCTTCATCTCGAAGGTCTTGTCATGAGACCCGTACCTGGTTCTAGCTGTATGGTTGGTTTGTGCACACTCTACCGAACTCGAAGCAGCAGGTCACTACTCCGCCTTTTGGGCCATCAGTCCAACGTTTGGAACCTTCGCATCCGAGCTGATCGCACGGAGAATGAGAGCAGAGAGCACATCCTCACGTTCTGTCCCACGCTAGGCGAGACCTCCTCAGGTTCCAAGCAAAGGTTTTAAGGATATCTGAAATCGAAACGATCCGGACAACTTCATTAATATTATGAACGTTTATGGCCCAGTAAATCACGGCACCTGTGCTTCTTCTGCTGCGAGGCCTTGGGCGTCCTGCGCAACGGCGGGCTGGTGCGATCTGGCTTGCTGTCGCTCGCCCGTGCATGCCCGACAAATCACCCAAAGGGCTCTAGAAGCTCATCGATTTGTAGCATCAGTTGCCGTCCTTGTACACATGGAAGCTAACCGCGGACCCTGATGCAAATGTTCCCGACATCACATCCTGACAGGCTGAGCGACACGACAACCGTTTAGCTACAGCTCCACTCCATCCTGTGCTTGTTTCTTGGCCGGCCTGCTTGCTCGCATAGATTTTGCCCGCGCGCTGTTTGAAACAGGGGTGGTCCAAGGGAACGCTGCACTTTAGCCAGCCGAAGGTTTCCTCCAAGACATGTTCAAGGCTTTTGCGGCCTTTGGAAACAATGGAAAGGTGGCCGTTCTGAGCTTTGTCCGGCTGTCTTGAGCTTGTTAATCCTAATCATGATACATATATATGTATGTACATACAAACATACATACATGTGCAGACAGAGAGGGAGATGCGGGGAGAGAGAGAGAGAGAGAGAGAGAGAGAGGCATCAAGTGTTTAGCGGGCTTTATGGGATCCCTATGAACCGACCTAAGGACTCAAGGAAGGCTGTTTTTCCAATAAGTTGCTGGGAGCTCGAGACGACCAAACAAAGGATAGCTTTTGGGGCTTCTGTGGGGTAGGGATCCTGAAACCAATGCTCTGAATCTCTGGTGAAACCCAACCCCCTCCCCCCCGACAAAATACCCCTTTGAAACCAAAAAGCCCGGTGCCCAGAAACTTCGCCCGGGAGAGGAAACAGCCGGCCCTGCCAAAGAGTGACGTGCCTCCTTCACGGAACCTCATGCTTGGCATTTTGTCGGGATAGGGAGTTCTACAAGGGTTCCCGTAAGTTTAGATAGTTATGCCCGTCGAAAATACACACTGCCAGGGCGGGTTCCCGTAAGTTTAGATAGTTATGCCCGTCGAAAATACACACCGCCAGGGCGCAACTTTCTGCAGGATTTTGGGTCCAGGGTTTGGGGCTCTAAGGTTTGGTGGTTTAGGCTTGCAGATCTTAATGGGGAGCTCTCAAGAACAATACTAGTACTTCAGGCTTCCAAGTTGGCGCGGTGCTGGAGCTGAACCGTACAACCGGAAATGTGGGTTGAGTTTTGATGGGATTGGGAAGGGGCTCGGCTTCAGCGGTTTATGGCCCCTTTTGCTCTCGACACAAATACGTCAGAGGGAGACCCAAGTTAGAACAGCACTCAACTCCTGAAGTCCGAGCACATATACAGAATTGTGTCAGCCTCCCCACTTCAGGAAAGTGCAGCAACGAGCAAAGGTCGACTGAAACCCTGCAGCCACGAGACACAAGCCCTAAACCTTAAACCTCAAAATCTCCACCCCAGCCAAGCCCTTCAAAGCCCCCGGGACCCCAACCCTGACTGAGCACTGAACTCTAAACCCGAAGCCCTGAACCCTGCAAAGCAAAACAGCTTCAAAGCCACCTCCAGCTCAAAAGAACCTAAGTCCTGAAATCGCTGTCGAATCCCTAAAGGCCTTTAAACCCGAAACCCTAAGCCCTAAAGCCTAAGCCCATAAGGCACTTCAAGGAAAAGGCGTTCCAACCCCCCGCAAAGAAATCTGAGACGTCGACTCCGCGAGACTTCGCGGAACGGGCCGAACCAGGCCGCAACCACGCGGCCGCGGTTGTTGGTGCCTCTGGCCTCTTTTAGGGTTCAGAGTTTAGGGTCTAGGGTTGGGGTTTTGGGTTTTGGGTTTAGGGTTTTTGGGTTTTGGGTCTTGGGTTTAGGGTGTAGGGAGAAAAGGGAAGGGAGAGAGAGACAGAGAGAGCGAGAAGAGAACATGCTTTTTGGGTGTCGGGATGTTTGCAGGCATCTCTGGGTGTTTAGGGTCGTATGACGGTTACAGCTCTACCTTTTGCTTTCCACAATTCCGTCGGGGCTCTCAAGGATAAGGACCTATGGCCCTGGGTTTCGTGCGCCTGAGACCTGAACCACAACCTAAGGCCCAAGCCCATTGGTGCGCTTCTTTGTTTGCGTGTCTTTAGAAGCTTTGCACTTGGGCACATCATCACGAGGCCAGGCGTCGACATCTGGTAACACTAGCAGGGTCTTGGCGGATACTGGATACTATCTTATTTTATGTGTTTAACTCTATATAGGAGCAATACGGGGAGTCGAACAATAATTGCTCGAATGACTTTACCTCTTATAGTCCTAACCCCGCTTAGCGATGTTCTTTCTGGCACTGTTGCCAGCTGCAAACCCTAGAACTTCAACCCAAAAGCCGTAAACTGAACACCAGAAACCTAGGCCGAGGCCTTAAACCTGAAACCGGACCTTGGACCCTACACTCCAGGACTCAAAAGCCAAAAACACCAAATCCTAGACCGGCGGGTGAGCTTGGCCAGTGCCTTGGACTTTGTGCTTTACACATACACAGACACACAGTCTCTCACACACACACACACAGAGAACGTAGGGTTTAGGACTTGGGCTGTAGGGCTTGAGGTTTATGGTGTAGGGGTCTATGAAGGGGTTCCCGGATCATTTAGGGTCTTTGGCTTTCGGGTTTACTGAGCTTACTGCAATGAATGAGCTTGTAGTTCATATCATATCCCATGCGGAGCTTCTAATCAAAGGTATTTTACCCCTATGGGGGCATCTGGCTGCGCGGCCGTCTGCGTGGTGACGTACTTCCTGTACGCCACCGCAACGGTCCTTGCTTCTGCCGCATCGGTTCCCGGCAAAGGGCTCCAGCTTGAAACTGAAGCCTCCTAGCTTCGGGTTCCCAGCTGTAAAGTGCCCAAAGACGGCCGTCCTCCTATGCCACAGCGAGGTTCACAGAATTGGCGACAGCGAGGTTGGTGTCGAACTGCGCCGCATTGATCGCAGCCATCAGACGCGACGAGTGTTCAGCGTTCCCCAAACCCAGGCCCAGCCGTGCTTTCGCCAGAAGCTTTATCGTCACCTATCAACAGATACACAATATGGTGTGAACACCTCCCAGAAGAACAAGTCAACATGTGAAGAGAGGTGTTGGAATTGGGTTTTAGGGCTCGGGGCACTTTCAGGCTCCTAAATCGCCCGTCTACCAGCGCTATCTATCCACTGCTCTGTACATCTACATATATATATATTATATTTATTTATGTATTTACTTATTCATATGCAAAACCTATCTATTCATCTGTCTATCTATCTGCTTATCTATGTATCTGTCTGTCTGCCTGGCTGTCTATGTACCGATTTCTCTAAACATAGAAAGCTTCAGATGTAAACGTACAGTTGGATAGAGATACAGACATAGATGCATAAGTCCTAAAGGCTCAAGTCTTCGGCCTTGATCACGTAGTGCGTGGCCTCAGCTGCGAGGATAGTCGGCTGCAGACTTCCATAAGGGTTTAAGATTCCTTTAAGGGTACGGGCCCCCTTGACGTTGTTTTCTGTTTCTTCAAAGTATGCCTGAAGGTTCCTTTCGGGGCTCCTCACCCCCGACTGCTCATCCTCCTTCGTCCATGAGGATACGCCTGAACCCTGGGGCTATAGGTTCAAGCCGGAAGACAAAACTCAAAGCTAGCAATTGGGTACTTCTCAGAGTTCTCTAAAGTAGGGTCCCGTTTCGGATCCCTTTTTACAAGGGTGCCGCCCTTTTTTGGGTTCCTAAGACAGGGACCCTCATTTAGAGAACTACCCGTTTTAGTTAGGGGAGTGCTGCCGGCTGTGGAGTTTAACTCTGGCGGTTCTAGGGGCTGCTGGTCTCGGCGCGTCAAAGCTGTTTATGGTTTACGAGTCTCGCGCGCCCGTAGACCACAAATGCCGGAATCTACACCCCAACACCACTACTACTACTGCTGCTTCTGTTTCTGCTTCTGCTTCTGCTACTGCTACTACTGCTACTGCTACTACTACTACTACGACGACGACGACGACGATGACGACGACGACGACGCCCCGACGACGACGACGACGACGACGACGACGACGACGAGTACAGTACCAGTACTCTTCAACCCCAAACCGCTTAATCCTCCGACCCTGGATCTGTTATTTGCCCTCGAACCCTACCCCTGCAACCCGAAAACCCCAAAAAAACGTCAACCCACAACCTTGAAACCCCAAACCTTCGACCCCGCCCCCCAAACCCTAAACCCCCCCCCCGCCCTTCCCATCGCCAAAGTTAAAGTGAACAAACGAAAACCTCCAAACCCTGATTCATAAACCCCAAGCCCAAAACACTCGTACTCCACAACCCTTAACCTTACCTCCCAAACCCTGAAACGCAACAAGAACCCGAAACCCTCAACTCCCATGCAACCCTGTAGAACCCTGAAGAACCCTTATGGTGGCCCGAGACAGTCTGTAGACATCCACACACGCACACACAGAACACAAGACCGAGAGGCTGTACGTCGATCTTTACCTGTTCGCCACCTTGGGGGTGCTGTTGGGGTTGAGGTGTTGGGGGTTGTTGGATTCCGAGGTCCTTTTTTGCGGCGCCCCTTTGTTGTATGTATGTATGTATGTATGTATGTATGGATGTATGGATGTATGGATGTATGGATGTATGGATGTATGGATGTATGGATGTATGGATGGATGGATGGATGGATGGATGGATGGATGTGGATGTGGATGTGAATGTGGATGTGGATGTGGATGTGGATGTGGATGTGGATGTGGATGTGGATGTGGATGTGGATGTGGATGTGTATGTGTATGTATATATATATGTAACAGTTTTGGTTATAATCCTGGTAGGGAGGATCCTGCGACTTGTTTGAATACTGTCTACTAGGAGGCGCACCCGGCCCTTCGATCCGGAACCTCGGGATAAACGTTTTGAACCCAGTTACGACTCCCAACTACGAAGTTGAAATAAAGATCATGTGTTCACCGCAACCACAACGACAGCAGAAGCAGCAGCTCATGCACGTTGATTCTGATGATACTGGTGCTGACGGCGATGATGAGGAAGGTGATGCTGTTGTTGAACGACGATAATGATGATGATGATGATGGTGATGATGATGGTGATGACGATGATGACGATGATGATGATGATGATGATGGTTGTTAAGTGCTGGTTCAGTGGGGGCCGCCTCACGCTGCAGCCCAGTCTCATCATCATCACCGTCATCATCGTCGCCACAGTGCTCTGTTAACTGGTACGAGTCGTGGCAGTGACAAAAAGGCCGGGATGTACAAAAAACGAGCGGCAGATTCCGAAGCCGTACTTCCTGTTACAGTTCAGGGTTTTGGAGGTGTTGCAAGCGTTGAGGGCTTAACTCAATGGCCTGAGCAACTACACTAGTGGCTGTCTAAAGGGTTCTATAAGGGTCAGACTTAAGGGTTTGATAGAGCTCTTCGCAGATATACGGATCTAAAGCTCGAACCTCGGGGCCTTTGTTATTAAACTGGGGGTGTTAAAATATCACCACACAAACAGAGTAGGGCGCTGGAGACTTACTATGTGGGAATAGATGATGATACAAGGAGATGACTGCTCAATTGAAACAGGGTTTTGGGCTATACTGGAGGTATCTCCGAAGTATATTGTGGAATTTTACTGCTAAATTGGAAATTCGGGCATGGCAGCATCTATACCGCGGCCGAAGGGGGGGCTAACAGGGCCCCTTACGGTACAGGTACGGAAACCTAAAGAATAATACGAGCAGTATTCAGACTCGTACAACTAATCCCCCCAAAGGTTGGAACATTGATTTGAGATGATTAGTGCTGCGCATTGCTCCGCTTCCCTGACAACCATATTCCTACTTGCTGGCTTCGGCTTTAAATGCTAAGGCCAAGGCATGTGAGCTACGCGACTGGTCTTGGCCCGGACGATGTCGCCGCCGCAAAGCCAAGCACGAAGGGACTGGTCCTTGCCGCCGCACTGGCACGGTTTTGAAGGAGGTTGAGAGGGTTTAGTTTAGGATTTAGGGGTTTACGGTTTGGCTGCAGTGTAGATCGAGCAAACCGGCTTAAACCCAAAAACCTGGACGGGCACACGGAATACTGCTGGAGTACGTCTGAGTCTTCGCAGCTCTCAGCATCCTTTGTTTGAGTACCAGAACCCCTAAACCCTAAACCCTAAGGGCTGGCAGTTTCGTAACTCAGAAATCAGTGCGACCCTCAGCCCTTAGCCCCGAGAACCCAAACCCCTAAATGTATAGCTCCCTGGGCCCTGCAGTCCGGATCAATAAACCCGCACGGGCAATGCCTTCAATGCAAAAATCAAGTATGGCTATTAAGGGTTTAGCGTTCTGGGTAAGCCCAAAGACCATGAACTGCTTTCAACCCTACAGTAAGCCCGAAACTCCACCCACAAGTTCAAACGAAAACAGACTTCTGAGCACCCGGGCCAAGTTCTCTCCGCCCCAGCCGTGCATCTCCTTTGCTGAAAGAGTTGCTCGGATGTGGCTGGGTTTCAGACGATAAGGACACAAAAGAGGCTCCTGAAAAAACCTTGTAAAGCCCTCGTAAGACCCTCATACTCATTAAAAAAATCCATGTAACGCCTTGTATAAGATCCTCATCCTCATGACATGGCCGTGTACACCCAAAACAGCCCTGTACATGAACCCGCATCAAAACCCGCGCGGCCCTGCAAAGAGCCCTGCAACCCTGGGCCCTAGGTCGCCTCGTCGAAGCCACCGGTTGCATTGAACCTCACATGAGGGATCCGAGGCCTTCTTCTAGGCTACTCCGGAATTTAGGGTTCAGGGTTTAGACGTACCCCTTCTCCTGTGTCCAACTATTCAACAACTTCAAGAAACACGTTCGGTTCTCCGAGGCCCAAAACCCCTGCGCCCTACCCTTCAATCTAAGTCGCCTATGTTCTTGGTGTTCCTTAAGTTCCATGTGTATGTATATGTGTATGTATGTATGTATGTATGTATGTATGTATGTATGTATGTGTGTATATATGTATACAGATACATACTGTACCGTGTACTTTCCTTAAGAAAGTGGGGATTGAGCGGCTGCAGGCAAGCCCTAATCTCTCTCATGCCTTCTGGCTTGCAGCACTTCACTTGCTGTTGCGAGAGTAGAAACAAGCTTTTGTTGCCAATAAACCACATCGCAATGATGGAGGCTTTAGGCATCTCTAGGTGACCGCTGGCCAAGATCATGACCATGTGTGATAGCCCGGCATTCCTGACTGACCGCATGAACAGGGCACAGGCTTTGCGGAATTGGGCAAAGCATACCCCAAATGGTCCACCTACGACTTGGAAATTTGGCGACGACACCTTGCTTATGTCCCGGAACCATACCGCAAAACGCAGGCATCTTGAATCAATTTGACGGTGATGCAGAATGCTGGCTGGAAGTCCTTCCTGAGAAGCCCCACGAAAGTACGCAAAATCCAGAGCAGCTAGCGCATAAGGGGGGATGCCATGATCTAGTTTGAACACCCCATGAGACTCCATGACCTCTGAACTCTAAACGCATGAGGCTATGCATCTTATCCGACAGCCCTGAAAGCGTGAGGGGCTACAGCTGAAGACATCTTTAGGTTGAAGTTTCAGAGCCTCAAAGACGCGAAGCCGTCACCCAAACCCTAAAAACTCAAATACCACACCGCGGCCTAAGCTCTCAAACTTGGAGCCATCAATCTAAAGCCCTGAATTCTGAATCTGTCCAGGGGACCACTCGCGACCCATCGCGACAAGTCCTCCACTGATCCTGAGAGGTTCTTTGAGCCAAAACCCTAAACCCGAAACCCTAAACCCGGAACCCCTAAACCTTAAACCCTACACCCTACTTCTCAGAAGGGCTCGAAGCCATGATGAAGGTTTGGCTTGTTCAGGTCTGACTGCCTGGGGTGTGTACTAGCTGCAGTGATTGTGGAAGTAATGGTGTAAAATGATCATAATATGTACAAACATACGTTTATTCTTCACGATAACTTGTACCTTCCCTGAAGTTCTTAGTTTAAGTTCCTGAATAACAAGAACGCAGAAAATGCCCAACTTCAAGCAGCAATCAATGAACTCCTCTGAATCAGCGCCCAACTAGAATCCAGAACACTCAAAGCCCAAAGACCCTAGGACCTAGAGGTTAGAGTTTTGGGGCTAGGGCCCCTCGAACTGTGAAGTGGGCTTGGGCTTCGTTTGGTCAGCGGCCTCCAACGATTATCGTTTAACCCAGACCCTGCACCCTGCGGCCGACAACCACCTAAGCCCCACTAATGCCTGAAACGAGGACCAACAACACTCCGCCAATGTCAGCAAGTCGCGTCGGGATGAAGTCTGACTCGTCATCGAACCATTTGAAATCGGCATCCTCAGCCGCAGCTCACGTTCTAAGGCTGGGGACCTTCAGGAAACGCTCACCTAAGCCTAAACATTGAGCCCTGAATCTAAACCACTCATACCCCCGAACTCTATGCCGATTTCGCTACACCCTGCAAACCCTAAGCCCTGTTTTGTGTTGGGGCCCGGGGTTGGGTTTGGTTGTGGGATGAAACGGTTAGAGTTCAGGGTTTAAGACTAGGATTTAGGGCTGAGAAGGGGCCCGGCGCAGAAGGATCCAAAAGTAGGGTGTAGCTTTCGGGGCTCAGGCTCGGGCTGACGTTTGTGAAAGGGCTTTGCGAAGAGTATTTTAGGACCAAAATGCATTCTACATATATGCATTTTGAGTCTTAAGGTGAAAGTTTGGGGAGCGAGCCGGTGTTGTGCAGGGCCAAGATGCAACACAGACGCCTAAACGAAGACTATTCACTATTGTTTTCGGGTTTATATGCACGCGACATGCACGGGGAGCCTTAAGGAAAGGCCTTGCTAATTTGTCGATCTGTCGATCTTGTTTGGTACTTACAGTCTCAGAGACCATAGCATGTTCCACCCACTTGGTTGCCAGCACCATAAGGGGGGTCTGGCCGGGAAGCTTCCCGGCCGGCTTTGTCACGAAGTCGGCCAACCGCCTGTTGATTTGAAGCACCCCTGCGACCACGCCCGGGAGCCCAAGCCGGCGCTGCGATTGGCGATGTCCATGATGCTGGACGGTGACAAGTCATCCAAGAGCTTCAAGATGTCGAGTGGCGCAACCCGTCTATAATCTAGATGAACCTAAGCAACGTGCACATAACCTCAAAAAATTACCTGATTTTTGAAGCCCCATGGATCTGCAAGTAGTATCTCCAAAAGCGAAAGATGTTCAAACGGTGTGCTACTTACACTCACCAAGACCTCGCTTCTCCATGCTCTCGACGCAAGCCCCTTCATGAAAAAAATACACCTTCAGTATTCAGACCCAGAAGCCGAACTTGAAGCATTACGCTGCTCAAGCCCGCAGCCCTAAGCCCCACAGCGGACCAGCGCAGCAAAGATATCTACACAGAGGCACACTTCGCATAACACACTAACAACCGTTTTTAATCTGCTTCAAACAAAAAACGGCGCCAACATGGACAGCGGTGCGAATCGAGAACCGTGAGAAGAAAGATGTAGTCATCCCAGCAACATCAGCAAGCAAATCCTTCCCCTTCAGGGATCCAAAAAGTAGATGTCTGAGTACCAACACCAGTCAACTTACAATATTTGGTATTTGAAACCAAACTATTCTGGTACTTAACAGGTGGGATGAAGCCGTGAAGTTTGAAGGAGCCCCCAAAGAGGTCTTTTGTTTGGGTCAGCACCACCTGCCTTCATCCCATCCTTCGCCGAGAGGCTAGGGTGAGATAGCACTTGGCATTGACCTGCTCTGTGTCTCGCAGGGCTGCGAAAAATTACCCTCTGTACTTGCTACCATATACCTTGACCTTTTACCCGCTACCATATACTCATATAATGCACTCTGCACTATACAATGCCATGCTCATGCTACGCTATCTTAAACCCGAAGATCCTAGAATCTACAGGTGTATGATCTTCGGGCTTGTTTCTCTCGCAGAAAGAGGAATAAACCCAAGCCTCGTGTTTGATTTTTGGCCAGCTTCTTCCACGTCTCGCGGGCACTATGGCATCTTAGAGTCTTCGTAAAGCCCTCATAACACGATCCTCTGATAGTCCCCAAGCCACAACTTCCCAGAACCCAACATATCCCGCATGAAGCCGTTCATTCTGGAGCCCTGTAAACTTGGGGCTAGGATCTTCGGGTGTATGATCTTCGGGTTTGGATCTTATATTGCCAAGGCGCAAATCGAACGACGCCCTGATACAAAAAACACAGATCAAGCCACACAGCATTCCTCTTCCAGAAAGAGGAAGGATTGTGAGTACCTCGCTTGCATTTTTTTGCCGCTTCCTAGCAAAAAGCAAAGCGGAGTGGGGACACAGGGGTGCGGGGAAGTGTCACAGAGCCCGGCCTTTGGAGTTGCTCCTGGGCTGCTTTAGGGTTTAGGGTGTGGAGTTGAGGGTTCAGGGTTCAGGGTTACGGTTTAGGACTAGGCCCCAAACCCCCGCAGCCTAGCAAGAACCCCTATACAACCCCAACACCCTACAGACCCCAAACCCAAAACCCTACTGCCAAGGTGGCGTCGTCTCAGCTGGCATCTCCGAGCTCCTGGGCTGCTTTAGGGTTTAGGGTTTTGTCGTTAAGGTTTGGGGTTCAGGGTTTGGGGTTACGGTTTAAGATTAGGCTCTAGAACCCCCACCCCCTAGGAACCGAAGCAAGAACCCCTATACAACCCCAACACCCTACAGACCCCAAACCCAAAACCCTACTGCCAAGGTGGCGTCGTCTCAGCGCTGGCATCTCCGAGCTCCTCCGTCTAACGAATGTGCAGGGGACCCAACTTAGGGTTTGATGCTTCAAGAGATGAGGGATTTCAAGATGTAAGCTGAAGGTCTTGCCGGATCTGGATTGCGAAGGCACCTGGCGAGCAACGCCCTCTCACGCCCTTTCTTTAAAAGCACAGCCGGGTGGGGATCACAGGGGTACGGGGAATAGTGTGCATCAACAGTCAGCTCAGCAAATAACAAATTAACCAACAAACAACTAGCAAAGGCTCTCGCGGTAAGTCCCCATTCCCCGGTGAGGAGATAGTTTAGGGTTTAGGTTTTTCGGTTTTTAGGGCAGACTACCGTGGAGGGAAATTGAACTGCTCCTGAAAACCACTAAGATCATGTCGTAATGCGCAAGAACCGCTGGTTTCTGACCATGAAGAATCCGTGGTCATCACCATCAATATTACTAGTACAATATCATCCTTACTAATTTTGAATCCTACTGTCATGAATGCCACAAGCATTCTCACGCAGCCTCTTTAAACTAAGGGACCACTGCAACAGGCCTTGTTGTCCAGCAGCCTGGTCTAGCCAACACACACACTCCTCTAATCTACAGCAAGGAGAGCATGCGAACTGACACCTCTTACTAAACTCACTGATGACTTGGTTGTGAAAAAACATGAGTTCCATGACATAGGCTTCGAAAACCCACCGCTCCAAGAAGATGTCAACACTGAGGCCCGCATATTCCAGTTGCAAATACTGTAGCCACAAACGCATAACTGATATGACACCGCCAGTTCGCAAAAAGCATTGCATGCCATGAATCTCGTGTATCCAGCCTAGAGTGATCTGCAACTGTAAGTCGTCAGTCGTCTGAACATGTAGAGAAGCACCGACGTGCCATGCAGTCTGAACCCTGAGAGCGTCCCGCCAGCGCGACAAATCGCGCATATGCACAATAGGATTTTGAAGCTGATACAGAGACCGCACTTGGTCACCTAGACTAAACCATGTAGCGCGATTAACCGCTAGAGCCAGCCGTTCCTCAGGCGTTGTGCCGAGACCACACAGCCGGATCTGATGCAAACCCCAGGCCATCAAATGGGACCATGGGCCACGCACAGCCGCTGTGACAGTGCACAAAGCTAGGACGGTTTTGCGAGCAATGTTAGACTGCGGTTGTCGAAGCACATGGCCGAGATAGCTCCAATACCGTTGAACCCAAATATGACACCAGTCTTGTTGCGGCGAGTGCATGAGCAGAAGCAGTGACATTCGTCTGCGGAGTCTGTGGAAGTGCATCGCCGGATCGTGTGCAAGGGCGGCTGGCAAATACAGCCCGAACATGATAACCAGAAGAGTGACTTGCAAGACCCGAACAGAATTCAAACGTTTGTGGAGAAATTGTAGTAAGGGACTCAGCCAGAAGCACGAGCCACCAACATACGGATTGAGAAATCGCAGAGTACTGAAGGGGTTGTGCCAATCGCCTTTGCGAACAGCTCGCTGAAGACATGTGTGCACGAGGGAATGTATCCGCGATAGTAGAGGGGAGCTAAACCCTAAACCGACAACCCTGAACCGCTAAACTTGGTAGGATGGACTCTGGGGCCGCTGCCTGCTTCTGAAGGGCCACTTGCACCTGCCTGGCAGGGAAGTTCAAGAGTTTCGAGTTCGGGGCTTTAAAACTTTAGGGTTTAAGCGCTCAGGATATGGACTCTAGGGTTTATTCAAGGATAGCCATGTGCTTCTGCAAAACAACCCAAAACCCTGCTCCAGGTAAGCCACGCAGACCCTGGCACGAACTGTGAAGCTGTTGAAGATTGTGTTGGTAAGATTGCACGGCTGTCGCGAAAGGCTCATGCTCGCAGCACCAGTCAAAGAACTCTGGAACGATACGTGGTAAAGATGTACTGTGAATCCGAGGGCATCTGGTGATTTGTGGGATACTGGGCATCGACGACTGATGATAGGTTTTATCCCTCAACACATCAAAGAGCCTGAATTGGCCTGCACATCCGAAGTAGCCGAAATTACTCACAGTCACACCGAAGATTCTCGATCCTGTGACCCTATTCGGAGATGCACCTCGGGCTGCAGCTGAAAAAATCTTCACCATGTAGCTCCGGAAAGGCATGCGGCATGCTGGGCTACATAGGCTACATGAAGCAATGAGCGCATTAAGGGTCTAGATAGATATGTTTCTAAGGTATATGAGTCTGATGTGTTGGTGCACGGTCCCAAACGAGGGTTAACCCTTTGACAACCGCCTTGGTTCGTGTTCGCGGGCAATGTTATTTCGAGCTGGGTTTCGAAGCACGGCAAGGTTCACAGGGCTATCATGGGCTTTCTGCATATGATTCTTCCAAGTTGTAGCTGGCACGAGGAAGTTGACGGACACTACAGTATGCTTGACAGCTTATTGAAGTTTCGCTGCTTGCCATCCACAGGCATATCTAAGGTACAGCAGTGGATATCTCGCAAGCACAGACTAGACTGGCATGGATCTCTCCGGCCGTTTTTTACAACTTCGAGGCGAAATAAGATGCCAAAGGTTCGTTCACCTATCTTTGATGTACGAGCATGGTGCCCGCCTTTAAGGCTGAGCACTTTAGCAACTGAACACGCACGAGTCCGACCAGGTGCCGGCAACAGACGCAGGAAAGTTGTCGAATGCATGGCATGCCAGGTCGAGCGCAAGACGGAGTGTTACAATTCTACACTCACAAGGATGATGACCTGATCCACTACCTTCCTGCATGTCTGCGCCCCCTTCCGTGGCTCACGAAAGCTGCAAGCGGTGTGGGTGATCTCACCGGCACGCCATCCAAAGTCAACTGATGTCAGCTGGAAGTTTCAAAAACCATAGGACTTTGCCGATGCAACGATGCAGGGTTTGGCTGAGTGTGCTGTGAGACTCTGGCAAGAGCATCCAACTACTGATACTGGTAGCGGGGAGCATCGCGTCACGGCGCCGCTGCCGGAAGCCATCCAAGAGTCGTCGTTGCGCTGCAGCGACAACCCAGGTCTCTCGAAAGAGTTTTGATAAAGCTCATGGCTCTGGATTGTGGATTTCCGCCGTTTTTAGTTCACGAGAACAAAGAGCTGTGTGTGTTAGCAGCTTAGCATATTATAGCACAGCATGGCATAGCATTAGCATGGCGTTGTATAGTGCAGTGTGCATAGTGTATGCTAGTGTATAGTACCTAGCACCAAGTATATGCAGAGAGAGAGAGTATATGCTGATTGGTAAAGGGTGAAGGTAAATGGTAACAAGTACACACTGATAGGCCAGGGGGCGCTTAGCTTTTAACCTGAGACTGCGCAAGGCTTTAACAAACAAGAAAGCATGTTCAAGGTTTAGGGCTTGAGGGTTTAGGGTGTAGAGACAGCAGTTTGAGGGTCTTGGGTTTTATCTTAGTGCTTTGGGGTCTTGGGGTGAGGGTTTTGCGCTTAGAGAGTGGAGTTTCGGTGCTAGTTGTTGTTGGAGTGTGGGTGGCTTAGGACCGGGAATGTAGGAACTATGCCTCTCTTGGGCCCATAATGGCACTAGTCACTCGTGTCTCAAACCCCTTGAACTTACACTACAAGTGTATAATACAAGCACCAATTCCTAAGGAGATGATTGGTCATGTGATCGAGATTGCAGGGTCTAGGAGCTACCTGCAACTACCGGGTCCTGCTTGTTGCAGGGTTTGCCACTTCCCCCCTGATGCAAGGTTCATAGAAGCCCCACAAACAACACAAATAAACAGGCACATTTAAAGCAGCTCATGGGCTCATGGTCGCTCAATGTCGGGTTTACCTCAATGGCTCGAGTAGAAGACTGCTGCTACGACTCGGCTACGACTGCAGTCTACAGTCTGCAGTAGAAAACCCGGATCCCGAAACCGGAAATCCTGAACCCGCTAACCCGAACAAAAGCATGTGGCATTTCAGTCCGACGTCATACAGCCCGGGACCCTAAGCCGTAAATTCAAGGGTTAAGATTAAAGGCTTGATGGACACCTGAGATTACGAACCC